GSYTWWTTWRRAWWARGGGKRSGGGGGGATAATTTAGAATTAGGGGAATTTCAACCCTTTTTCCACTCCTCTGCTCTCCAGCTAACAAGGATCTTGCTGTTTACTTTACTGAGAGCAGAGTTTCTCTCGTGGCTTTCAAGGAAACAAAACACAGCCACAAAGGGACCTGCTAAAGCCACAAAACTTTTCCCCACTGGATTATTTACAGTTTGTGCTATGCAGGATCTGCAGTGGATCCCTCTAGAGATTCCTAAGCCCTTGGGAACACATCTTGGACAGATGAAAGCTGTGTATGGGGAGCATCAGGTTCATGAGAAGCCCAGGAGCTCCTCAACATGGGGTTACAGCCTGTCTGAGACAAGATCAGGGGAAAATGTCATCTCATCTCATCTCTTCTTTTGTCATTTATCTGAGCCCTTGGGCAGTGATGGGTGAGCCCTCTGGCCTGGGGAAGCTGCTGCCAGGGACACAGGGAAACCCTGATGGGTGATCAGATGGGAACCCTAATGGGGGATCAGATGGGAGTCCTCAGAGAACCCTAACTGGGATAAGATGGGAACACTTGGGAACCCTAATGAGGGCTTATATGGGAGCCCTTGGGGAAACCCTAATGGGGATCGGATGGGAACCCTAATGGGGGATCAGATGGGAACCCTCAGGAAACCCTAGTGGGGGATTAGATGGGAACTCTTTGGGAACCCTAATGGGGATCAGATGGGAGCCCTTGGGAACCCTAATGGGGGTCAGATGGGAACCCAAATAGGGATCAAATGGGAGCCTTTGGGAACCCTAATGGGGGATCAGATGGGAGTCCTTAGACCAAACACATTCCCGATGTCAGAGGGGTTGTGCAGCACTGCAGGGTTTGGGACTGCCTTCATGCCCTACAGGATGAATACAGCTCCCTGAACACCAGGCCCTCAGCAGCCAGGCAAGTCCAGCCTCCAAAAGAAGCTGATATCAGTGATTCCATCACTGTAAAAACATCACTGACATCCTGCTGCAATGGCAGGGTAACAGCAAAGCTGCCCTGCACAGGGCATAAATCCATCAGCTGCACTGCATTGCTGGAGGCTGTGAGGATTATCCCTTGTCCCAGCCCTAAAATAAGGCCTGTATTGCTGTGCATGGAAGCTGGGAACACTGATGGATGCCYGAGATTTCCCTCCCTGTCAGATCTTGAGTTCTGTGTGCAGAAGCCAGCAGGTGGTGTCCCCCAGAAGGGACAGCTCATTGCACCAGGGCTCCTGCAGAACCGCAACCAAGCGCTCCACCAAAGCCATAAATTGYTCTTGGAAGGATCATCACCTCCCTGTGACTGAAATCTGCCCCTCTCCATTTGTTTTGAAGGATCATTCGCCAGCCTGTGGACAGAATCTTCTTTGCTGGCACGGAGACAGCGACGCAGTGGAGCGGGTACATGGAGGGGGCCGTGCAGGCRGGAGAGAGAGCGGCCAGAGAGGTACACTGCTCTGCTTCAACATCTCCATCAAAAGGCTGGCAAGGACTGAGTGCAGCTTGGAGGGTCTGATTTGCTGAAAAAGCTCCTAGAATTGACAGGGAGAGATCCCAGTAAACAGCGTGAACTAAAGTTGTTGTTTTTTTGTTTTTTGTTTTTTTTTTACTTACTTAGTTTGTTATTCAATAAAGTGAAGCCAAGAATCGCAGTCGAATCAGAATATTAGTGAACTGGAGGTTTAAAATAAAAGTTATGCCTTGTCTAGACAGAAAAACCCTCCAACCTGAAGCTGCTGGTAGATGTTCCACCTCAGTTTCTAACAAACTAATCACAGCATGTTTTAAAACTAACTCATTTCAAAGGCTCGCAGCTATTTCCTAAACAGAAATCTGGAAATCTGAACAYTGTTCTCCTTTTTGATCTATCCCTTCTACTTCTCCTTTTACAAGACAGTCCCATCAGCTGAGCTTTATGAATTTGTAATGTGCAGCTCTGATAGTGTCTAAATCTCCTCAGGAATGACACACGCTGGGCTGGGTTCCCAGTCACACTGAAATCTGGAGGGAGGGGACAAAAGGCATTTAAAGGTGCACATTGCAGTTACAACTGCTGTTTGGCAAAGCCACAGAGCTGTTATTTAAGGGAAAATCAGCCCTTTACTTCCATTTGACAGGTTGTCATATTCGCCTTTTAATCCTTATTACTTGCTTCATTTCAAGTCACCGAATTTCTCTTTTCTCCATGCCTGGGAGCAGCACAAAGACAGTGAGCTGTCTCTTCTGGAGGCATTCATTTGCCCCCAAGAACCCCTTTGATTGTTACAATCAGTTTATTAAGAAAAATCCTTGGTGAGCTTTGCAGTGCCTGAACAGGCGAGGGATGGCTCGATAATTTCATGCTGTGAGATCCTCAGGGYTGCATCTCACCTCTTCCTACATCCCAGAAGCATCACTCTTAACAGGTTTTGTGTCCCAAGTGCATGGCAGTAACCTCACCTTGATATTTCTCAAACTGCCTTGACAAAAAGGATTTTTACTACTGCTCAGGAAAAAAAAAAAAAAAAA